TCATGATTGTCAAATTCAATGCTAAATTTCTTAATGAACGTTCCATCGCACTATTGAGACTCCGTTCGCCTTATTGTATGCCTGTTCGCTCTAATGACAATGCTTCTTCGCTTTAATGAATATTCCTTTGCGTTTAATGAACAGCAAAAGGTGTAGTACAAAACAAGAACCAGCAAGTTTATCAGAGTCGAGCTTCAAAATTCTCCAGCTGACGGCCTCCCCTGGTGGGGCAAGAAAGGCTTACACTAGCAGACTCTACTCACAATCAGTGCGCAAGGCTGACGAGACCCATGAAAACGTTGTTTCAAATATTGGTAACACCATAACTGATGTGGACCTGGAGAAGAAATCACTTGGTGATGGCAAACATCATGATACTTTGGAAGTAAGTGATTTGAAGACTGCCATGCATATTTTCTGCTTTAAATCTATTCCATAATCAAATATGCTGATGTGATTCCTATAATCTGATTTGTTTTCAGACATTTTCGCTGTCTGATGTCAGCTCTTTTGGGGAAAGTGAAAAGTCAAATTCGGTAAGTACATAAGTAGCCAAACAATAAAACAACATTTGATCATTTTTTCATATCAGTATTAACTTTTCTGTTTCTCAGTCTTCATCGTTTACTGAAGTATCCTCCCTGAGTTCAGGTGAAATATCTGATTGTTGGGGACTAAGTGATGGTGAGCTTCCACCATCCATGTCCTCTTCAATCACAGACTCGTTCACCGATGATGGACAGGACCACATCCAAGTATCCACGACTATTGTGGTTGAGGGAACCATGTCTGCCAGTAGTGATGCATCAGAGAGTGACGACATTCCTTCTGGAACACATGGCTTGGAGAGTAAGGAAATTCCAACAACCTGCTCTTCTGGTAGTGCTGCCACTTCTGGAGACAATGATACCTTAGACAGTACTAACATTGAGGTACCAGGTGACGCCCCAGTTGCTGCAGTAGATAAAGAGGCACCCTCCTTCTCTGAGGGTGCTGACATCTCAGTAGACATTGATGCGTCACCAAGCTGTACTGATGTCCATGTACCCACCGATGCCCCTAATACTGTCGAGACTTTGGATAGTACTGATAGATTTGGTGAAGTACCAGGTGGGACGATCACCGACGTCTACTCTTTGATCAGACGGACATTAAACCTGGGTCTGCCGAAGCCTCACGATCCTGGACATGATGACAACAAGTCAGCAGAGCCTCATCGTAGACCATCAACAACAGCTGGTCTTAAAGAAACTCAATGTAATGATGTAGAGGAAGAAGAGCGCCTCATTGAAGTCCCAGAGCACACTACACCCAGCCTACATAAACTGCATACGGAGTGGCCGCAGCACCACGTCAACATCGAGGTGCTTCTTGGGTTAAAGGCACCCAAGAATTCCTTCGAGTCCCTCGCGGTTCAGAACTTTAGAGAGGAAGAAGCCTTAGAGTTGGACTACAACGTGTATCTGAAGACGGGTGCCGTCTCTTCTCCATCAGAGAAGGATCATTTGTATAGTTCGATTGGGGCAGAATCAGAGATCGCTGTAGATTCTGGGGTTGGTTCAAGTGGAGACTGCATGTCTTCAGGACCTTAACGAACATTTCATATAATCTTACCAACATATTTCGAAAAACTCTCTTCTGCTTGATCCTTTTCTTTATATTTTTTTAAAAATCTCGTTGCCAAATTTTTTTATAACCAAGCGAAGAATGTAAAATCTAGATCTGGTTCATATACAGTAATGTAATTGTTTGAGAGTTGTGTGTGTCAGTGCGTGGGAATGTGAATATGTCTTCAAAGTAATAAAAGAGAGTAAATAAAAGAGACTAAAAAACCAACACACTGAATGAATGAACGAGTGAATTGGAATAGAGGCAGACAGTAGACCCTTTTCATAACTGGGGCTTTCCCCACACTCATCGTTTAGAAGAAGGAGTAAGACTAGTAGAGAAGGTAACTGAAATCAGCAAGGAAGGTAAGTAGGGGAAGCAAGTAGGGAAAGGAGAGGGAGGAATGAGAGAGGTATGAAAATAAGAGGACTAGAGAGAGAGAGAGAGAGAGAGGGGGGGGGGGGG